CAATTGCAAAAGGCAGCTTTACTTGGAACAGCTTACATCCTGCGACAATACCTTTAAAACCAAGAGAAGTGAATATGTGTAGCTCAGGGTTGAATTGTGGAATCCTTGCGATTCCCTGAGCTTGGTTGTTTTCTTGCAAACATTTCATTACCCGGCTAGGGAACATCTTCAGTGCTAGCACTGCTAACGCTGAAGATGTTACTAGCCGGGTAACAAAACATTTGCAAGAAAACAACCAAGCTCAGGGAATCGCAAGGATTCCACACCTTTAACAGCATCAAACAACAACATCTGCCTATCCCAGGTCCTTGAGAAGGACTCGAAAGGTGGATAAAAATGCCAAATCCAGTCTAAACATCTGGCTGACTGTGTGACCAATAATAATACTATGGATTAGCCATAAGGCCATATCAGAATAAAAAATACAGAACAATCATAAGATCACGTGTAAGAAAATGGAGCCAAAGGCAGAACTAAAAAAAAAAAATACAAATCATATTTTTGTATCACCCCTGCAATTTACTCCAATGAGAGCCACGTATGCAGTTCTCAATTGTACTGTTTTGTTCAGATAATGAGCCACATTATATGTAATATTTGGGTTCTGACTACACATGAAATATGTTATTTCAGTGTAAGGATCCCAACAGGCCGTTCGCATCCAAGATACTAATCTCTCTCTTTCTTATACAGCTGGCATTCAAATAAGATATGTCCTCTATCTCTGGAGCTCCACAAATATATGTACATTTGTTGTAAGGAACTTGGTTAAACCTTCCCCATTTAACCATTGCGCCCAGCTGCTGAAATGATAACTTCTTAATTTTAAAAAAAATGATTAAATTTGAATTGCTTACTTTGTGCTTTCTACAGAGGACACAATTGTTCGATGTGAACAACTGGATCTGCTTCAGGATTGGCTGGCTGATTTCAGAAAATCTACCTCCTCCTCCAGTACAGCCAATCCAGAGGAGCTGGTGGCATTTGATGTGGTCTGTGGTGACCTGAACTTTGACAATTGCTCATCAGGTGAGGCAGGTTCCTTCTCCTTCCAATCTAGAACTTAAAAGAAATGGAAGCACCAAAGCCCTCAGGAGCACTGAATGTGGCTCCTTCCAAAAGTTTCCACTGAGTTGTAATTTTTAATATAGCCAGATGGGGAAACATTTTAAAGGCATGGTGGCATTCCCATCGGGATCTCTTTAGTACAGTGTTGTCCAAACTTGGCCACTTTAAGATGAGTGGACTTCAACTCCCAGAATTCCCCAGCCAGCCATGCTTAAAGCCATGCTCATCTTAAAGTGGCCAAGTTTGGACAACACTACTTTAGTGGGTTAAATGGAAACTAAAGTAGCCCACGCCAGGTCACTCAAAAGCCAGGGGTGTCTTCCCACTTGCCAACACTGGTGCACTCTTGTCTTACCCCGTCCCAGCATTTGGGAGGTTTCCCTCCTTCCCCATGGCCAGGACCACTGACTCTGTCATTTATAACATGAAACATTGGTTTTGATCTTTTGTGAGATTCTATTTTCTTGCCACACTCATAGATACCTGTACGCGGTTAGATCTCCACCTGCTAAAAGAATATGTAGAAAACACAAGTCTTTTTTAGACCATCTAATTGGTATCACCTTCAATGCATGGTTTTATTTTTAGCTTCAGAAGAACTTGGTTATGCCCCCCTTGCATTTTTCCCCTTTCCTAAAGGCTCCCATTTATGAATTGTATGGCCTTGACAGCAGGCAATGATAAATGACATCATTAGCGCTTGTGGAAGAGCTACTTTTGGGATTCCCCTGAGAGCAGCCAGAGAAACACAGCAAAGTTTTCTCAAGTTGCACAAAGGAAAAATTATTAAGAGGTGCTGTTAGATACATGCATTCGCACGGTGTTAGGCAGAATGTAATGTCTGATGGTACTAATCATTGCTCTGCAAGGTAAAATTAGAATTAATCCCCTCCCATATCCTGCAACAATAAATTACAATATTGACCATTTGCAATTGCTCACAGTGCCTTCCTTGCTCTCTCTTCTGTGAAAAAATCAATCTTGGCAAGATAATTGTACATAGTCAGTCCTGACTCCTGGGGAATAATAATAATAATAATGATAATTTATTAAACTTGTATGTGGCCCAACTCTTAACTACTCTGGGCAGCTGATAACAATCCAACAAAAGTTACATTAAAATCTATAAAACATAAAAAGTAAAGATAAAAGATGGCAAGTGTGATGACATGAGGGGTCTCAATCTCCCTTGCTGAAGGCCTGGCTGAAGATCTACATGCACAAGCCCAGGCAATTTTCTTGGTAACATTTTTCAGAAATGGTTGGCCCCTGCGTTCTTCCTAAAGCTAAGAGAGAGTGGGCCCAGGAACCTAGATGGCTTTGTGCCTACAGCTTGTGGTGTATCTAGCATATTTGATACCCCGCTAGACCACTGCTGAGAGCCAGTTTGGTGTAGAGGTTAAGACACCAGAGTACAGATCAAAACCTTGTGAATTCTAGTCCTGCCTGAGCCACACAGCTCGCTTGCTGATCTTGGGCCTGTCACTTTTCTCAGCCCTAGGAAGCAGGAACTGCCAAGCCCCCTTCAAACAATGCTACCAAAAAAAAACCTGCAAGGGGCACTCTCCAGGAGTCAAAATGACTTGAAAATGCACTTTTTTTTTGCTCCATCATTACTGCACTGTGTCACTAACTGCCAAACAGCTGATGGGCATGTGGGCAGAGCAGTGGCCCAACTCCACGCTCACGGCTAGCCTTCTTATGTCTTCAGCAGCACCCCCTTTATTGCCTGCATCTAGGCCAAACTGCCCCGCCCCACCCAGATTATGACTGACTTTTAAATAGCTACCTAGAGGCAGATTACAAAAGCAGAAAAATATATAAGAAGGTGGGTGAAATGGTTTTAGATATCTGTAAACAAAAACAAACAGCAAAACACACGTATCAGTCCAATCCGTGGTCTCTCTTTTCTCTGGAGTGGGAAGAACACTGAGTTCACATTTCCCAAACATATATACAAATGGAAATGCAATTTGTATGTCACTATTCCCGTTTTTCTGAATGTTTCCGAATGGCTCACAAACAACAACAATGTACAGAAACAGATTGCATTAGACAAACTCACTCACAGAATATCCACGTAGTAGGAGGGGAAAAAAAACACAGTGATGAGGAAACATGAAGGAATCACCCTAAGGTTAGAATAAAGTGAGATGTCGAAGAAAATGGATAGTTTTGCAAATGCAGATCCGTTCCTTGGACACCTCTCCTGGACTCTATCTGACATGGCTTGTAATTTATTTTTAGGAGTAAAAGAAATTTAAAGCCTGAAATGGAAACTTGTATGTTACAAAATGAGGTACCAGCATCAATGGTGGGTCTCACAGCCATTCTTGCAGACCAAGGCTTTCTTGAGAAATACGTCCACCCCTCCAGAAAAAAGGAGAGGTGAGGTAGGAGGGGGCATCACAGGGGTGTGAGAGAAACTGTGGGGTATAGTGTTATTAGTTTGCCTCTAGGTCAGTAGGAACTTGGTTGTCCACCTGCCCCATGGCAGCCATTTTGTGTTGGGAAGCCACGTTAAGGCAGCCATTTATTTATTTCTTGAATTTATATAGTTGCTCATCTCACACACATGACTCTAAGCCACATACACAATTACAGTACAAAGCTAAACAATCAACGTAATTCAAACAACCATTAAAAACCAGTTAAAAACAGTTTAAAAACTATAATAACAAAAAGACAGGGAGAGTGCATTCTTGTCAGGCCTAATCCAAGGAACTCCAGGAGACCATGCAGATTCAGTTCAGCAATGTTTATTAGCTACGAGCTCTAGCAAGAATCTTCCCAGACTGAAACTTAGTTCCCACAGTCAGCCAGTGAAAGCAGAGTGAATTCCTCAGGGAGGTGCCAGCCTCATCCTCTTATCTCTTCCTTCAGGAGACAAAAGAGGATGTTTCCCTCCCTGAGTGTGGCCTTCATAATTCCATTCCATCACAATTCTAAACTTATACCCAATGCAGCCATTTAATGGGCTCCACACTTCCATGGGATCCCCAGGCCCGATGGCAAAACCAAGGCCTTTTGAAGGCCTTCTGGATTTTACAGGAATACCCACAATATACCTTAAAGGTCCATATTTTTGTGGAATTTTGCTGTAAATATTGGGTCTACCACCTTTCTCCCGTGACTTTCTCGGGCATGTTATGGATCTCCTTAGTTGCCTTTCTTCTGGTTGCAGATGACAAGCTGGAACAGCAGCACTCCTTGTTCACCCGCTACAAGGACCCATGCCGCCTAGGTCCAGGGGAGGACAAATCATGGGCAATTGGTAAGATGGAAGGCTATGGCCCAGAAGTGGGACAGATGCCCCTTGGCTGGGAGGCAGAACCTGCTTAAGGAGCCTAGAACTCCTCTTTTTGCTAGCTTGTGCTTTGGTTTTAGCCAAGGTAAGTTGCAGACTACAAACAACTGATACCAACCACACACTGATCTTCTGGAGGACTGAAGGGCAAATTAAAAGTTACCAGTATGGGAATCATAAAGCCTGTGGGAGAAATGGGCATAAAACCAGAATCTTTCTTTAAAGATATTGCAGCCTTTCCAACACAGGGCTAAGATACAGAATCAAAGGTATGGCCAACACTCTTGCCAGGTTTTGCGCAACATATTTAACCCTAAACCTGGATTAACAAAACACAATTGCTATGTACAGTGTGCTTCCCTCAATAAACCATATGATGGCTGAGCATGATAGTACAATTCACGCAACATGTTGAATCAATGGCTAGATTCCCACAACAAATTGCTCGCTCTATTATCTATCTATCTATCTATCTATCTATCTATCTATCTATCTATCTATCTATCTATCTATCTATCT